CAAAGACATACACAGACTAAAAGTGAAGGGATGGAAAGAGATATTTCATGCAACTAACAGGGAGAAAAAAGAAGGTGTTGCAGTACTTGTATCAGACAAAGCAGACTTTTAAAACAAAAAAAGTCACAAGAGACAAAGACAAAAGGGTCAATCCAACAAGAGGATATGAGCGTTATAAATATCTATGCACCCAACATAGGAGCACCTACATATGTGAAACAAATACTAACAGAATTAAGAGGGGAAACAGAATGCAATGCATTCATTTTAGGAGACTTCAACACTCCACTCACTCCAAAGGACAGATCAACCAGACAGAAAATAAGGAGACAGAGGCACTGAACAACACATTAGAACAGACGGACTTTACGGACATCTACAGAACTCTCCACTCAAAAGCAGCAGGACACACATTCTTCTCAAGTGTACATGGAACATTTTCAAGAATAGATCATATACTAGGCCACAAAAAGAGCCTCAGTAAATTCAAAATGATTGAAATTGTACCAACCAGCTTCTCAAACCACAAGGCTATGAAATTAGAAATAAATTACACAAAGACGACAAAATGGCCTGCAATCACATGGAGGCTTAACAACATGCTCCTAAATAACCAATGGATCAATGACTAAATAAATACAGAGATCAAGCAATACATGGAAACAAATAATTCAACAACGCGGGACGCAGCAGAGGCCGGGCTAAGAGGGAAGTATATTGCAACACAGGCCTACCTCAGGAAAGAACAACAATCCCATATGAACAGTCTAAACTCACAATTAACTAAACTAGAAAAAGAAGAACAAATGAGGCCCAAAGTCAGTAGAAGGAGGGACATAATTAAGATTAGAGCAGAAATAAATAAAATCCAGAAGAATAAAACAATAGAGAGAATCAATGAAAGCAGGAGCTGGTTCTTTGAGAAAATAAACAAAATAGATAAACCCCTAGCCAGACTTATCAAGAAAAAAAGAGAGTCTACGCACATGAACAGAATCAGAAATGAGAAAGGAAAAATCACTACTGACACCACAGAAATATGAAGAATTATGAGAGAATACTATGAAAAATTATATGGAAACAAACTGGATAACCTAGAAGAAATGGTCAACTTTCTAGAAAAATGCAACCTTCCAAGGCTGACCCAGGAGAAAACAATCTGAACAATGACCACAAGGACACTGAATCGGTAATCCCAAATGACAAGGACGACAGGTTCCCCAGGAAAAAACTTTTAATTCTGAAGGCGCGGCCTCCCCCGCGCCGCCCCGCCGCGGGTCCCGCCTGACCCTCTGCTCGCCCGGCCCTCGCCCTCGAGGCCGCCGCCGAAAACCTCCACACGCGGCAGGACGCCCGCCGGCCTCCCCGCCTGCGCGGCCCCCGGCCCCCCGTCCCGGGCGGCGGCGGCAGGGCGGCGGCGCGGCCCCCGGCCGGGCCCAGCGAGGACCCACCCGCGTCGGCCGCCCCCTCACCGGCTCCCCCGCGCCCGCAGGCGGAGGCACAGGTCCCCGCGCCCCGTCCGGGCCCCGCCGCGCCCCGCGGCCACCTACCTTCCGGCCCGCAGAGCCGTCGCTGTCGC